CAAGATTGCTGTGGCTATCAGGGATCTTTTATAGTTTCATATAAATTTTTGAAATATTTGTTCTAGTTCTGTGAAATACACCACTGATATCTTGATAGGAATTGTGTTGAATCTACAGATTGCTTTGGGCAGTATGGACATTTTAATGAATTTAATTCTCCTTATCCATGAACATGGTATATGCTTCCACTTATTTGTATCTTCTTCAGTTTCTTTCTTCAGTGTCATATTTTCTGAGTATGAGTCTTTTACATTAGTTAAATTTACTTTAGATATTTTGTTGTTGTTGCACTATAAATAGGATTGTTTTCTCAGTTTCCCTTTCTGATAGTTCATTATTGGTATATAAAAATGCAACTAATTTCTGGATATTTATTTTGTATCCTGCTACTTGATTGAATTCATTTATCAGATCTAGTAGTTTTCTGGTAGAATCTTTAGGGTTTTCTATATATAGTATCATGTCATCTGCAAATGACAGTTTTACTTTTCCCTTTCCTATTTGGATGCCTTTTATTTCTTCTTGTCTGAGTGTGTGGCAAGGACTTCCAGTATTATGTTGAATTGGTGAAAGCAGCCCTGGCCAGTATGGCTCAGTGGATAGAGTGCTGGCCTGTGCACTGAAGTGTCGTGGGTTCGATTCCTGGTCAAGGGCGTGTACCTGGATTGCAGGTTTGATCCCTGGCCTTGGTTGGGGCATTTGTGGGAGGTAACAAATTGATGTGTTTCTCTCACATTGATCTCCCCACTCCCCCATCCTTCCCTCCTTCCTTCCACTCTCTAAAAATCAATGGAAAAAAATATCCTTAGATAAGGATTAACAGATTCAAAAACAAAGATTGGTGAAAGCAGATATCACTGTCTTGTTCCCGATCTTAAGGGAAACACTTGTAGTTTTTGCCAGTTAGACTACGATGTTGGCTGTAGGTTTGTCATTTATATGACCTTTATTATGTTGAGGTATATTCCCGGTATTCCCACTTTGCTGAGAATTTTTATCATAAATGAGTGCTGGATTTTATCAAGTGGTTCTTCTGCATCTATTGATATGATTATGTGGGTTTTATCCTTCATTTTCTTTATGTGCTATATCATATTTACTAATTTGTGGATACTGTACCAACTTTACATCCCTGGAATAAAGACCACTTGATCATGGTGTATGATCTTTTTAATGTATTGCTGGATCTGGTTTGCTTTTGTTGAGGATTTTAGCATCCATGTTCATCAGGGATATTGACCTATAACTTTCTTTCTTTGTAGTGTGCTTATCTGGTTTTGGAGTTAGGATAATGCTGGCCTTATAAAGGGGACTAGGAGTCTTTCCTACTCTTGAATTTTTGGAATAGTTTGAGAAGGGCAGGTGTTAGTTCTTTGAATGTTTTGTAAAATCCACCTGTGAAGGCATCTGGTCCAGAGCTTTTGTTTGCTGGGAGCTTTTTTTTTTATTATTACTGCTTCAATTTTGCTAGTTGTAATCTGTCTATTCAGATTCTCTGATTCTTCCTGATTCAATTTTGGAAGATTGCATGTTTCTAGGATTTTATCCCTTTCATCCAGATTGTCCAATTTGTTGGCATATAATCTTTTGTAATATTTTTTTTACAATTCCTTGTATTTCTGTGGAGTCAGTTATTACTTCCTTTTCATTTTCAACTTTATTATTTGGGTACTCCTTTTTTCTTGATGAGCCTGATTAAAGGTTTGTCAATCTTGTTTATCTTTTCAAAGAATCAGCTCTTGGTTTCATTCATCTATATATTTTTTAAAGACTATTTCATTCAAGCTGGAGCAAGAGGTGTTCTTTGGCTTTCCTTAGTCACCTTTTTTATTTATAAAATTTAAAGACTAGCAGAATGTACAGGGGGTAGGGGATTCAACTGGACAAGTCCACACACTGTACTTGGATACCTGTGACAGACTAAGGGCTCAATGGCAGGCACATTTTTTTTCTGGTGCCTTATGTTTTTCCTCCTATTTATACAAAAATTACAGAAATTTTGGAAAATTTGTATAGATACAATGAAAACAAAAAAAAAGAGCCCTCAGATCCTTTTTCTCGTTACTAATTTCCATCTCTCTTCTATACTACATAGAACCATATGGTAGTAGGCTAGACATATAGATATGTACATCTGTACATCTCTTTCATTTCAAGATATTATAAAATTATTAACAGCTTTTCCAGAAAAGGGGTAGAGGTGGGGGAACTACATTACATTAAATATACATTTCTAAATTTAAGAAAAATTAAAATTTGAAAAATATATCTTAGAATTAAAAAAATAAAGTATTAAAAAGTGAATTGGAATCTACATAGATACACAATTGACGTCCAACATTTTTTCATTAAAAAAATTTTTTTTTCCTTTATTGATTTTAGAGAGGATAGCAGAGGGAGAGAAAGACAGAAACATCGATGAGAGAGAACACTGACTGGCTACTTCCTGCATGCCCCCACACGGGAGATTCGGCCCACAACCTGGGCATGTGCCCTGACCGAGAATCGAACCGGCAACCTCTTTGTGCATGGGTTGACGCTCAACCACTGAGCCACACCAGCCGGGCCAATTTTTCACTTTTATATGTGAACATTTCCCCATGGCTACAGGAGTCGGGGGAGAGTGTCTTGCACACCACAGTTGTAAAAAAGTCCAGACATGGGGCCAGAGTCTCTTGCGTTTGACCCTGGCAAGCTCTATCATTCCCAATAAGCTCATTTTCGTCATCTTTAAAGCAGAGTTGGCAATGACCCTTTATGCCTCATAGGGTAGTTCTAAGGATTAAACACAATGACAAAGGTCAGGGTTCATTGCCCTGCTCAGGGCAGAGGGAGTACTCCTAAGTGATATCTTAGTTTAATTAATTTTCCATTCCTCTCCACAGGGATCACCAGCCAGCATTTTTCCAGCTCTCACGCTATACCTGGAAATTCCAAGTGATGTGGAGGAGGAAAGTGAGAGGAAAGGGTGACAGAGGGAGGTGGTCTGAGGGCACACTTATGGAAAAGGAGACATCAAGTTTGGCCATGAAGAGGGGTGGGTGAGAAGTGCTGTCATGAAATCAAGCTGCCAAGGAAGACAGGGAGCAGACCAGAGAGCTGGATACTGAACCAGGGGCAGAGGAACACCCCTGGCATTATCCTGTGGGCTGAAATACAAAAGGTGGCAAAGGGGTTGTCAGTGGTCTGGTGGTGACGATCACAAGTGTCAGCTGCAATGGCTGTTATTATAGCAGCATGTGGCAGATAGCAAAGAAGGGCAGGCAAGAGCCTGGTGATAGATGGACAGTTTAGGATCTGAACTTTGGCTCAGCCATGTTGTCGCTCTAGAGCCTGGAACACATTCTTTAACTCTCCTGCACCTCAGTTCTTCCATTTTAAAATGGACAATTACCTGCCATCTGAGTACTTCCACAAACCCTTAGCACAGTGCCTGGCAGGGGATGGGCACTTACTCATTCCAGAGGTGTACTAAAAGCAATGTAAAAATTAATACCACAACTTCTTTTCCTTTAATCCTCACCAGAGGATATTTTTCTATTTATCTTCAAATAGAGTGGGAGGCAGACAAAGGGAGAGAAACACTGAGAGGGACACATTGACTGGTTGTCTCCTGCATGACCCCATCCAGGGACGAGGATAAACTGCAACCAAGGTACATGCCCTTGACTGGAATTGAATCCATGACTCATTGGTCCATGGGCCAACGCGCTACTGCTAAGCCAAACTGGCCAGGGCACCACCACTTCTTTGTGTGTGTATGTGTGTGTGTATGTCCTATCATTTATTTTTTTTATTAATCTATTTTTGTTACAGATGTTTCTCCTTTTTCCCCACTGACACCCTCCTCCAGATCCCACCCTGCCCCCACAGCATTATTATCTAAGACCGTGGTTACACATACATGCATATGAGTTCTGTGGTTTATTTCCTCCCTTCCTCCCGTCCCTTTTCTGAGGTTTGTCAGTCTATACCCTACTTCGATGTCTCTGGGTCTATTTTGTTCATCAGCTTGTTTAGTTCATTATATTGCACAAATAAGTGAGGTCATGTGATATTTGTCTTTCTCTGATTGGCTTGTTTTGCTGGACACTTGGGCTGTTTCCAGATCATAGCAATTGTAAATAGTGCTGCTATGAACATAGGGGTACATATATTCTTTCTGACTCGTGTTTCAGGCTTCTTAGGGTATATTCCTAGAAGTGGGATCACTGGATCAAATGCAGTTCAATTTTTAATTTTTTGAGGTAACACCATATTGTTTTCCATAATGGCTGCACCAGACTGCATTCCTACCAGCACGAGCCAGGAAAGGACCCAGCAGGATTTGAGCTCTGGTTTAAAATGTGGCCTAATAGTACATATCAAAGTTGGTTTTGTCTTTAATGTCACACAGATCAGCTCTCAGTGCTGGTTCCATCACTTATGCCTGCATGGACATGGGCTTGCAACCTGATTTCTCTGGGCCTTGCTTTCCTCTGGGGTGACACAGGGATTGTAACATCTACCTCACAGAGGTGTCATGAAGGTTAACAAAAGTATTCAGAGACTTTACCATGAATTGAGCCCAGCATGAGTGCCCAGTAAATGGCAGGTCTTCTTTATATTATCAAAGCAAAGGAAAAAAGATGTCCTAAGAGTGTCCAAAGCAAAGCTGGACTGTGAGCACTCAAGGTCTCTAATCAGGGCTGTCAGGTTTCTCCTAGTCCTAAGAGGCCAGAGCACAAATCCCACTTTCTTGTCACTCCCACCAGCAGGTGACAGGTGTCTTGCTTGCCATAGGAGCCGCCCAATAACCAGAGGAAGCCAATTTGCCATGGAACTTGGTCTAGGAACGCTCAGGCTATAAATGACCGAGTTGCAGATGTCAGTGGGGAAGCAGTCACTGGTGGCCTCTCCTGAGAACCTCACAGAACATTCATCATGGCTCTCAAAAAAGGAATTAGAAAAAAATAAAAACAAAACAAAAACAAACTTCTTCATCCTGAGTTGGTAATACCTTCAAAGTGACACCAATCACATTGATGGCCTCTTTCAGGCGAGGATGTCTTGTACACTGTGCAAGTTCTTCACATATCCAGACCCCAAGGGAGCAAATGGCAATGCATCTTTTGAAAAAGAAAAAGGAGGAAGATTTTCATGGTATTTTTTTAACTTAATTAAAAAAATAACTTAATTTTAACTTAATTTCTGGACCAAATTTTCTTGGTATTTTCAAATGATAAAATATTTTTTTAAAGTAGCAAAATATACAGATATATTAACAGAATATCTTCTTGAGGAAAAAAGCTAAGGTATCTTTAACAGATCAGTTTTCAGGACAAATAAAAATATTGATAATGGTTATAAGTGGTATATTTTCTATTAATGTCACAATCTATTTTTTTTTCTGAAACCAATTTTATTTCTAATTACATTTTATTGCTTCAAGATATTTTTAGGAAGAATAAAAAATGTGTACCTTAGAAAACTACTAAAAATTGAGTAATTTTTTTCCTTAAAATAAAATACACAACAATGACCACAAATAAAAGACAAATCCTGTATTTTACTGTAAAAAATATTTGAATAGGCCCTGGCCAGTTTGGCTCAGCAGTTAGAGCGTCGACCTGTGGTCCAGAGAGACCTGGGTTCGGTTCCCGCTAAGGGCATGTACCTAGGTTGCAGTTTGTCACCGGCCCTGGTTGGGTCGTGTGGGTAGCAGCCACTTGGTGTGTTCCTTTCACGTGGATGTTTCTCTCTCTTTCTCTTTCTCTCTTTCCCTCCCACTCTATCTGAACAACAACAACAAAAATGTCTTCAGGTGAGGATAAAAAAAAAAAAAGAATATTTAAATACAATTTTCAAAATAAGCTTCACTGTTATTTTTTTAAACAATGTGTTAAGACAAAATAGTTTTTTTTAGTTTCACAGTCCTCTATACATTACCTTTCTCAATTACATATCAATTTTAAATGGTAATTCTCTTTGCAACTGATATATTCCACTATTCTTTTGCAATAATAAAAAAGTCATACTCCTGTTCATTTTTTTTTTTCTGAATGCCTACATATATAATTAAAATATCTGCTGCCAAAATTGCTCACTTTCAGAACATAAAAGGGATTCAAACCACTACTCAGAAATAGACTTTGGCTATAATATGTACCAACTGTTCTTTGTAACAAGTCACATCTAGTGCCAAACTGGACATACTGCTCAGCTCTTCATACTGAACATTAATTTGCATTAAATATCATTCCACAATTAAAATCAATATTATTTGAGATTTTAAAACCACCATGTTTCACTGGATTCTTATATCTTTAAATTAGAATAGGTTAAGTGCATCAATACAAATATATTAAAAATCCTTTAAAAACTGTGTCCCCTCCTATCAAAATTAACTCAGTAAAACTGTGCATCTCAGTTTACAAGGTGTGCCAGGCCTTTATTGTTTCTCCAACATCAGCATTATTCAGGAGTTCCACACAAGTCTAATCCCTGATATTCTTACTGTATAGAATTGCCTAAATCTGTCTCTTCTCTTGCCTAATTCTTATGCTTATTCTCATCCAGAAACCGTACTTTGCATTCTTAGTTTGCACATACCCTATATTCCCACATATTCTACTTCTATTTCCCCCCAGCTTACCCACTAAAACCTATACAATTTGGAATTATATAAAAAATTCCAGTTTTACTTTATTTTTTTTTAATCCTCACCCAAGGATATTTTCCATTGATTTTCAGATAGAGTGGGGGGGGGGGGGGGAGAGGAGGAGAGAGAGAAAAAGAGAAACACTGATGTGAGAGAGAAACACCAATTGTTTTCCTCCTGCACAACTCCTACCAGGGCTGGGGATTGAACCACAAATGAGGCATGTGTCCTTGACCAGAATTGAACCTGCAACTCTTTGGTCCCAGGGTCTGTGCTCTAACTGCTGAGCCAAAACAGCCAGGACTCCATTTTTACCATTTTAGAAGCCTCTCTTTTTTTGTATGCATGTGTGTGTATGTATATAAGTGTGTATATATGAAAACACATTACTTTTTTTTATAACCCATTAACCTATTTGTTAAATGTAATTTGTTAAGGGCAAAGATCTCTCATTTCTAGGACCTGCATTACTCTGTAACTATTAGCTTTGTCCTATGGAGAACATTTGTGACCCATAAAATGGTTTTATAATCTAAACTACTCTCACTTGTTTTGATTTTTAAGGTACACTAGCTTATAAGAGCTCTTCCATGGTATTTTCTCACTTTGAAATTTATCATTTGACATTTCCATTTATCATCACCCAATTCTAATACTCTCAATTATTCCTCATGCCTAGGCATTCCTGCCAATTAAGATTCTCTGCATCCCAAGTATGTCCTTTGTGATCTCAAATGAGTTTTATCTATCAGTTCTCTCTTTTTTTTTTAAGCTAGTGGCAATACTACCTCCACTCATGATGTATTCCAACACACTCACTTGTTGGCTACTATGCCATCTCATACCACTCCAATTTATACAACAAAACTTTGTATTTTTCTGAATCATCACTCACAATTATACCATATTCTCTCTTAATTCTCTTCCATTTATTTGAAATCTCAGTCATATTTCAGTCTGCTTGTTTAACTACACTTACATGTCCTTAATTTCATTGTTTGATTTCTTTTATACACAAGTAAGCAAGACTGACCTTTTCATATACATTTTTTTTTTAATCGTCACCCAAGGACATTTTTCCATTTTTTGTTCAGATAGAGTGGGAGGGAGAAAGAGGAAGAGAGAGAGGGAGAGAAACATGGACATGAAAGGGACACATCGAGTGGCTGCCACCCGCACGACCAACCACGGCCAGTGACAAACTGCAACCAAGATACACGACCTTAGCGGGAACCAAATCCGGGTCTCTTCGGACTGCAGGCCAACGCTCTAACCGCTGAGCCAAACCGGCCAGGGCTTCATACACATTTCTATTCCATTTTTAACTCAACAGAAATTTTACATTCTACACTAAAGAAAAGGGGTTTGAAAGAATGGTACTCCTAACACTTGTTGAAGGGTTGAATGTGGTAGCTACGCAAAAAAAAAGTCAAGCACTTTCCCCAAACTTCTGGATTAAACATCTAGTTAGATGATGGTGCTGTTTACTAAGATGCAATCTGAGAGCCAATCAGCAGATTCAAAGATTCATTACAGTTGTGTTAAGTTTGAATATGTTAAGATATCCAAGTTGAGATATTAAGTAAGCAGTTTAATATATAAGTCTGAATATATAAAGAGTACACAGCAGGGTCCAGGTAAATATATTCAATATCATCAGCAGGTCGGCGATATTTAATGTCTGGTTAGAATGAATAAGGGGACCTAGAAAGTCCTGGAGAGAGAAGAAGGCCAGTTCTAAGCCTTAAGTCCCTCTAACATTCAGAGGTTAGGTAGAGGAGAAAGACAGCAAAAGAACAGGTATAGTGATACAGAAGCAAAATCAGAAGATTATGTTTTAAGGAACTGGCAATGTTGAGGGTAAAAATAGACTAATTTCAGAATTAGTAAGATAAGTATGTATATTGAAATTTCTAAGGTAACCAAAAGACCTGAAAGAGCATCTATGACTTTAAAAAAAAATAGAGGTAACAGAATGTGGAAAAAATAATATGAAAGAAGAAAAAAGAAAGAGCGAAAAGAGGAAAAAAAAGTAAGGAAGAATGAATAGAAGGAACGGAAGAAGAAATAAAGAAAAGGAGAGGGGAAAAAATGAAGGCAGGAGAAGGGAGAAAGTGAAATATTGAGAAGGGCCAACAACAAAGTATAAAAAAATGATGAAGGATCTAAGTGGTCTATAAGATAAAAAAATTACCCTTAGAGTTAAAGAGGGTCACTACATAAATATAAAATATTTAATTCATTATAGATCTAATTCTAAACTTCTTTGCAGATAGTAACATAACTTCAAAATAAACAAAGCAATAATGAACAGATATAAAGGGAGAAATAAATACCACTGGGAAATTTTAACATATTTTTCTCAGTAAATGATCAAGTGATTTAAAAAGTTAAAAAGAATATAGAATATTTATAGGACATGATTTAAAAAATTAATAAACCAGACACATCTAGATACACCCAAATAATTGAAGAATGGTGCATATATATTTTTCAAACGTGTATGAGACATTTGTAAAAGCTGACTACATATAGGGTTATAAAGCAAATCTCAACAATTTCTAAGAACAGATAGCATTTCTGACTCATGATGCAATTAACTACATCAGTAGCAAAAAAATGAACAAAAAGCCCTGGCCAGTTTGGCTCAGTAGTTAGAGCTTTGGCCTGCAGACCAGAGAGTCCCGGGTTTGGTTCCCACTAAGGGCACGTACCTCGGTTGCAGTTTGTCCCAGACCTCAGTTGAAGTCTTGTGGGTGGCAACCACTTAATGTGTCTCTCTCACATTGATGTTTCTCTCTCTCTTCCTCCCTCTATCCCTCCCACTCTATACAAAGATAAATGCAAAAATGGCTTCGGGTGAGGATAAAAAAAAAGTAATAATAAAAAAAAAGAACAAAAATAACCATATTAAGAAATATGTTTCTAAATAAATCATAACTCAATGAAGGAATCATAGTGGAAACTAGAAAGAACTATTGAAGAAAAAAATTAAGTAAAATATTTTCCTGATATAATACTTGTTATACTTTTTAATGTGTGTAACAGTAATGTGAAAGAATAAGTATTTATTATTAACATTGTGTTTACACACAAATGTGTATCATAAAATTGTAAAATAGTTTACATTTTATTCAACACTTACCTTGCACATTCACTTGGTTCCTCTGTGGCATTCTTCAGTAAAATATTTATGAGGTAATGCTAAAGAAACACAATTAAGTAAAATAAAAACTTTGTTTAGTAGTTGGTTTCCCACATGTTCTGACTGTATTCCAGGCAGTCAGCAGCTACTAAAGAACCTGTGAGTTCTGGAGAGGCTCCCATTAGGGAGAACCTGTGGGAAGGAAACATGGGGCTTGGGGGTAGTCCCCTGGGCAATTAAGCTAGTACAGAATAGAATTTCTGGGTATACAGCAAAAACCTAGCAAAGCAAATGAGACTTCCAGAGAGGAAAGCCTTGGTTTCCTTTTATTTTAACTGGATTACATAATGTGCACTGAATTACTGACTGTAATTATATACTACAGGTGTATAGATAGATTGATCGATTCTGAGATTTGAAAAGCACTTTTGTTTGCCCCAAAATCAGCAGAAGAGAGAACAAATGCTTACTTTTATTTTCCAAGGAATAATTTGAAATTATTAGTAGTATTTAATCAGGTCAACAATGAAATTCAATATTTAGCTTATTTCAATTGTTTCTAATAAATTCATCTGATGCACTAATGCAGCATAATTAAACTAATAAAATTATTATAAAGGATAATCATTACATACTTATAACCCATAGGCATGATAAACAGATCTAATAAAAACACCCGAGGAACCTATCAGTTTTAACTATAGTATGCTCTGAATCTCATACATTTAATCTCCCTAATACAGCCATCTAAAAAAACCAACTTTAAAACATTGAAATAATACAGCAAAACTTTCAGAGATAATTAGGTCACTGTAATAATGGAACAGATAACCATAGAGCTAGAATTATAAAGTGCTAAACTTGAGATTCAGTCAATGCATTATATACCTTGACATCTTCTGTTCCTGTAATAACTTCAGTAACTTCAGGCACTGACTGTAGCAAAGGAATCTCTTGATAGATATTTGGAAAGCAGACAAGAGAACCGAGAATTGTGAGAGCTTCTGAACGAGGTGCCTGCATACAAAAAAGTGAAACATATTTTTATTCTTGTAAGTTAGAAACTTTAAATAAGAGATATTTTACTTTTATGATCTTGAAAGGGAATCTTTATATTTTATCTTAGATAAAAAATATCAAACTATGCCTGATTATTTTCCCCCCAGGTAAATACATACTTAAGCAGGAGAGGTTTGCATAAATGAAACAGCTAATTTCCAAGGAATGGAAAATATCACTAACTATACTTGGATATAAACAAGCATTGTGAAAACTGGTCTGCTAATGGACTCTGTCATGGTTGTTTTACCTTTTTTCAGTCTAATGGTGTTGAAAAAACAAGTAAATGATATCAACTTAATATTAGTTTTGCTGTAAAGACAGTTAATAAATATTCATAAAGAATAGGGGTCAGGCTATCAGAAGGTAGAAAGAGTGAGGACATCATCTACCTAATTCCGTTTCACCAAAAACTGTTTTGCCAAATATAGTGTCAGTCATTCACCACGGTACAAAATCACCTGCCATTATTATTATTATTATTATTTTGCATTTAACTTGTTTTTTATTGTTGAAAATATTACAGATATCCCCCTTCTGTCCCCCTTGATCCCCTTCTTTCCACTCCCACCACCGCTCCTGCCTTTCCCAGCCTAATGTCTGTGTCCTTTGGTTGTGCATATATGCATACAAGTTCTTTGGTTGATCTCTTCCCACCCCTCCCATCCCCCACTCCTCTGAGGTTTGTCAGTCTGTTCCCTACTTCTATGACTCTGGATCTCTTTTGGTCGACAACTTATTTTGTTCATTATGTTCCATAAATAAGTGAGATCATATGGTACTTGTCTTTCTCTGACTGGCTTATTTTACTTAGCATAATACTCTCCAGGTCCCTCCATGTCATCTCAATTTGTAAGAGAATCCTCTTTCTTACAGCTGCATAGTATTCCATTGTGTAAATGTACCACAGCTTTTTTATCCACTCATGTAGTGATAGGCACTTGGGCTGTTTCCAGATCTTGGCTATTATAAATAGCCCTGCTATGGAAATAAGGGTGCATATATTCTTCCTGATTGGTGTTTCAGGCTTCTTAGGATACATTCCTAGAAGTGGGATCACTGGGTCAAATGGTAGTTCCATTTTCAATTTTTTGAGTAAACATCATATTGTTTTCCATAGCGGCTGCACCAGTCTGCATTCTCATACTTGTCATTATTGGAATTAGGTATACAGGGGAACCTCAGTCCTCGAACTTAACTTGTTCCAAAAGGCTGTTAGAGAAGCTATTTGTTGGAAAACCAAATCATTTTCCCCCATTAGAAATAATATAAATTGAATTAATTTGTTCCAGACCCCCAAACGATTCCATTTTAACCTTTCTTATATACAGTACTTATCTAATGTATTGTTTAATCATTAAACAAAAACTCTTTTTCTTAAATTTATCGAACCACTCCCTACTGGCCTTAACCAAATCACTTTCAGCACTCATTCCAGGGGTGTCTTTTAGCTCTTTTACATATTACTGTCTTGTCATTGGGCTGTTTTTTGTTTATCCAAATCAACAATAGTGCTCTTGACAGCCTCTTTAAGTTTTAAAATCGTGCTGTCCATCTGCCAGCAACAAAAGCAAGAAAAACAAAACAAAACCACAAATATATTCACAGCACAATTTCCTGAGATGGTAATAAGGCAAGGTTTAGCTGTAAACTGACTCATTCTCTCCTTTGTTTGTGGCCTGAGAGACTCTGGGTTGTTGGAGGTTGAGAACCAAAGTTAATGAAGACATTTTTTCAGTGGAAATATGTGGTCAAGAACGAAACTGTTCGAGCTGGGAGACGTTCACATTAAAGGAGGCATTTCACTAGATTTCAATTCAGCCAACACTTACCAGCAGCTATGCTTAGCCAAGAATCAGGCCAGGCACCAGGATTACAAAGGAATGCCATACATCTACCCACCCATTTGTCCATCCATCTCCCTGCCTATCTTCTATTATCTAATTATTATAACAATGGCAGCTAACACTTAAGGAGAGCTCTCCCTGTGCTAGGCACTGTTCTAACTGCTGTTACAAGCATTTCCTCATAGAATGCCCTCAACAACCCAATGAAGGAGATACTATTATTTCCATTTTACAGGTGAGAAAATGGAGGCTTAGAGAAATTAAATAGTTTTTCAAGTGATAGACCCTGATTTGAACTGAAGCCTTCTAACTCCAGTGTCTACACTGGCCCTGTATTGTTAAGCACTTGATTATGAAATGAAAGAAAGGTTCTCTCTCTCAGACAGCTGTCAATGTGGTGTGTGGGATGGGGGAGAACAGGCAAATAATACTTATCTACAATTAAATGAAGCAGGTGTTATGAGAGCTACACACTGGGGATATCATGGGAGCTTAGTACATTAATTTTTTACCTAGCTTGGTTTTGATCAGCACACAGGTAAATAAAAGACAATATAAAACACACAGAGAGATAATCTATGGGAACCGAGATGAGGTGATGATTTGTTCTGCTCAGGATGGTTCAGAAACACTAAAACAGACTGCTGCTAAGAGTCACATAATGGAGTAGGAGACAGCCCAGCAGGTGGAGAGCAAGGGAGTGAGGTGAAGAGGCAAGGGGCATGTTGCAGGCAGTGGGAACAGGAAGGCAAAGGCACTCAGGTTGCCCATGGAACCGTAAAAGGTCCCATGAGCCCAGAGCCCAGAGATCATGCAAGTGTGTATGAAGGATTGGGGGGTGCTATAGAAGGAGGAGTGCATGGAAGGTACCAGGGATGTCTGGAAAGAGACCCACAAGACATATGGCACAGTTCTCTTCTCGTTCCATCTGAGGAGTGATGCCATCAGATTCCTAACCCCATCAGGAGTGTGATGTGAATGGATGCTATCAGGGAGAGAAGAGTAGCATGCAATCACTGAAATACAGTGTAGGCAAGAATAATGATAGCTACGAAGAGGGCAATGGCATCAGGGATGAAGACACTATATCGTTAATGTTTTATTTCATTTAGAATACAAAGATTTGAAGCTACTATAGCAAAATGTTAAGATTTTCTAAAGTTGGTCAGTGAGTTCACAGCTTCTTGTTGCATGACCTCCACAATGCAAAACTCAATGGTCACCATCCCAGACTTACCTCACCTTACTCCTCAGTGGCACTGAATGCAAGCTGACAGCTCCCTTATACTTGGGAACACTTTGATCATTTGGCCTCTGGGACATCTTTTTTTGGTTCCCAAGGAGATCTGACAGTCTCCATGCTGGAACTTCTTATTTCCTCAAGATCTAAACTCTGGGATTCTGAGCACAGTTCTTTCCCCTCTTGTCTCTTAATTTTATACTCACTCCCAAGGATTATCCAAATCCATGGATTTAAATGCCTCCAACATGTTCCTTACTCCTCAACATTATCTCTCGTTTGCAATCTCCATTTGGGGCTCAAGAAGGCAGCTCACGCTGACAAGCTCTACCTTACCACACAGTTCTGTAATTCTGTGTAACAGTATCCTGTCTCCACTGAGCTGTGCCTTTACTTTTATTTTTAGCTGAAGAATTGTTAAAAACATACAAGAGAATATTCTATCCATATACTCAACACCTGGATTCAAGATTTTATCACTCTCAGCTCTCCTTTTCGGTTTTCATTTCAAGATTTAAAATTCCCTTAAAAGTTTCTACTTTCAGTATTTTAAAGCAAATCCAAGCCCTAGCTGGTGTAGTTCAGTGGTTAGAGTGTTGGCCTGCACATCAAAGGGTTGTAGGTTTGATTCCTAGTCAAGGGCAGGGTTGCAGGTTCGATCCCTGGTCCTGGTTGGGGCATGTGCAGGAGGCAACCAATGTGTCTCTCACATTGATGTTTCTCTCTTTCTCACTCTCTTTGTCCCCTTCCTTACCTCCCTTCCACTCCCCCTAACAAAAAAAAAAGGGGGGGGGGATGTCCTTGAGTGAGGATTAACAAAAAAATTTAAAACTTAAGCAAATTCAAGAGGTTGTATCCTTTCCACCTATGTGTTCTACAGCATCCCTGCTTTGTTTTTTTGTTTGTCTGTTTGTTTTTTTGTAATCATCACTTCCTGCTGCTTTATATATTCATTTAATGTATCCTCCACAAAGACAGGGGTTTGATGGTCTTTATCATGTCTCTATCACAATAGGTGCTCAAAAATATTGCTTTGAGATAAGGGGTGGCTGTTCACCTTCCAAGCCTTTGCTTCAGCATCACTTCTTGCATGTAGACTTTTCTAAATGCAAGCCTTCCCCTCAACTTTCACTAAACAGAATAAACTATTCCTATATTGGTGCTCCTCTACTGGATGTGATTCTACTGTGGCTACTAAGAAACTTATGTGTAAATATTAATACGTGGTTTACTTATCTGATTCCAAGAGTAGAGAGCCTGTTAAACTCATCCAGAACAGGTGCTGGCACATGTAGGTCCATGCTAAATATTTCTCACAAAGACTTGCTTTGTCATCCCTCACTAACTGCTGCTCTTTCCACCAGAAAGTCTTGATTTAGATTTCATCAAGTTGATTCCTTTCCCTATAAAACCTTAACTACTGAGTAGTATGTGAGTCTAGCTTGCAAAGTGGACTTTTAGATACAATACTAAACTATATAACAATTGAATACAAAACATTCAATATTAAAATAAAAAGTTGTTACACAGTTTTATTCAAAGAATATAGTAAAATTAGATAGCATTCTTTTAATGAATAGTTAATTGATTTTTTAGAGAGAGGATGAGAGGAGAGAGAAAAAGAAACATTAATGTGAGAGCTTAACACCAATCGGCTGTCCCCCTGCACATCTCCAACTGGGGATCAAGCGTGCAACCCGGGCATGTGCCCTGACTGGGAATCAACCCAGCAACCCTTTAGTGCACGGGACAATGCCCAACTGAATGAGCCATATCAGTCAGGGATAGATGATTCTTTTACCTAAGCACTGGGCCTATGATGAGCCCCAATGAACAAACAGTGTAACAAAGCCTGTGCACTTAAGTATACT